AAAAAAAAATCTCTGCACTATATTCTGAGTAATTTTATTCTTCCAGTTTATCAACTATCATTGTCTGTTTAGTCTGCTGCTTAGCCCATATTTTGAGTTTGTTTCTGTCTCTGTTTTTTATCTCAAAACTATATTTTCTTTTTAATATTAGTATTTTGTTCTTTCTTAAATCTTCCTATATAACTCCCAGTTCTTGCTGGTGTATTCTTTTCTTACCTTTATCTTTCTGGACATGCTAATGATTTCAAGTGTCTTTCAGATTGCTTTATTATCTATAATTTCTCAGATAGGAGTTCTCATATTTGTTGCATCTGCCCACTTTCATGGTGGTGGGTTTTATATGTTCTTCATAATTTTTGTCTAAACTCTTCTTTTTATTCCATTGGAATCGCAAACATTCTCTGGATTATGGAAATCTTCCTATGGTATGTTTTTATATTCACCCCTCATTGAGATCTATGGTTTTCACTGTCTCTGGGCCAATTTTTTATGTTGATTTTCAGCTTAGACTTTCCATACCAACGGGTAGTACAAAGTCAGATTCCACAAATGGCAGAGACTGGGTGTTCCATTTTGTCACCATTGATTCTATCTATAAAAGGGTATCCTGCTTCTAGCCTGTGTCCCCAAATTGGGCTTTCCTGCTTTAATTTGCAAAAATTAGCTATTCTTTTCATTCCTGTCATGTTTTCTGTTTGTTTGTTTNGTCTGTAAAATAAGTATGATTTTATCTGTAATACAATCAACTATAGTTAACAGCTTTAAATCGCTAAATATTCTTGCAACCCAGAGGTGGTTAAAAAGTAGGATTTATGAAAATGGTTTCTTATTCATTTAATTATGACATAAAGATTTTTTTATGTAAGTTTATCTACTTATGTAAAATTAAATAACTGAAAGACTGCTTAATAATTTTGAGAGAAATTATTGAACTAAAAAATTTTGGGTATCCCATTTTTATGCCGTCATTTATATAATTAATTTTTATCCTTATTTGGGATAATAGATATCATCATGTGTATCAGTATGCCCACATTATTGACAAGAGAAATATNTTTTTTTAGACATATAAAGAAAAAGTGAATGCAGATACATTGACACATACAAAGAAAGGCCAACAACGAAGTGAAAGAGGCATTGCATTTCCTGTTTGCATTTCACACCCTGTATGCCAGAAGAAGAAAAAAGCCTACTGTACAGACCAGACCACCTTCATACTAGGAGAAACACCAAAAGAAACCCGCAGGTATGTTGTGTGTGACAACACTAGACTTTAAAAATAATTCTCAAAATAAATATAGCTCCTTAGTAAAATATATAAATTATTTTAATCATAACT